GTGAATATCAATCAAGTCGGTAGGCTACGTGAAAGACACTGAATCGAATGGTAAAACATGACACAAATTAAATAAGTTTTCCATTCGACATACGATGTATCCACAAGTAACTGTCTATCTGAGACATATTAATTAATCAGACTACAATACGTATGTAGGATTTAAGTTCCTCAGGGCGTTAGGTCTTCGTAATCACCGGGGTGAGAACTTCCAAATTCTACTGAAAATTTAATATCGTTTTTACATTTACACGGCAAATTTCATTTCTATGTATCAATAAGAATAATAATTTGGAATGATTCGCGGGCCAGTGGTTGATCACGTGCGTTCTTTCTCCAAAGCCCCCCACCCCCCTCAACGTACAACAACCTGGAATATCCGAAGCCCACTTTCGGATCTGGGCCATCTTTATCTTATGCGGTGCTTCTTGTGAGATTAAACAAAGTTGACATCATACGTGATGTAGAGCAACGTCTCGGCCCGTCACGTCGACGCCTCTTACGTTGATAATTACACGTTTCTTTTTCAGCAGCGACACACATAACCCCCGCTCGAGTTGCATCACCCACAAATACTACAGATGACACGCCATCTTGGAGCAATTGAGAGGATCCCAGTTATAATTCTCCCCTTGTCACCCGCCTCGACTTTCTTTCATACCAGCCACGTGCTAGGCCCATCAGCTTCCTTCGATTTTGATCTTGAGGGTTGAAGATTGAGGCAGTATGTTCCTCCGAATCTGATTTGAGACGGCTCGCCATACAGTTTTCGCATTTGGGGCTGCGTGGAATCTGCCAGTGTGAATAAAATCAGGCATCGCAAATGCTCCCCCTGTATCTTTGTGCCTGGACGCACCTGCTTTTTTTTCGGTTTTAAAACACGTGAATGAATTGTGACGGGAACCAGAAGGCAGGCAGTCAACATTTGCCAACGAAAAGCAACATCTGTCCGGTCGGATTGCACAATACGTCATAGGGGCCATTTGAAATTCCGTACGCCTATGTTTGGAAGCCTTCAGGCTACTTGTACACCCCCCACCTCCACCCCTCAGCACCAGAACACGGCAGTGAACCTTCTTATTCCATAAAAAGGGGGAAATTTCTTTACTAATTTAGCGTATTATTTATTACCGTCTCAACTGAGGCCCTGCTCCATGGTATTAAGAGCATTATTATGACCTCAGACACGTTAAAAATGGCACCACACAAACACAATGTAGTGTAAATGGAGTACTTTTATGGTACGAAAGACAGGTTCATGGATTCACGATCCAAAACACTTTTATTTGACTTTCTTATCTGTTTGACTACTGCGCTTATCAGTACGAGAGGAGTTTTTATCCCGTTATCACTACGACAAAGTCATGAAACAGATTTATCCACGGATCTTGAGGGAAGGAAATCAATGGGATGAGGCAACTGTCTCGTAAAATTATTTCCAATTATTATTATTATTACGCTTCTGGTACGTAACTAAATACACGAAGAATCAGCAGATTATTTTGCACGTCGCTCTGAAATATCAAGATTCAACAAAAGACGTTCCGAAACCAAACGATCACGCACGTTTTTGCCCGTTTTGGGGGTTCAAGACGAATAGGAGGGGAACGTTCCTGAAGTCCAGCAGAAATCGCCTACAGCTCCGGGTCGAAACACCCTCAAGAGTGCCTCTGGTCACTGACACAAGTTTATTTCAAGCGGGCCCCGCCCCATCGTCTCCGCTGAGAATTACATTTTTCTCGGAAGATTAGTTACAGCAGCTGAAACCCGTCTCCTGGCCAAGTGGTCACCGGCTTTAAAAACTCTGATACGTCGATCACGTGTATGTAGATCGCAGAAATCTTCCAGAACTTAAAACTTCACAACATAAAAGTTTCTTTCTTTATATTTTGTTTGGTAAGTCACTCGATAAAAATGCTTTAGGATCTGCTTAACACTTGACAGGATGTCGAAATAAGCTTATAGATGGACAACTCATGCCGAACCTTAATCAGTACACCTGATCTCCAGGCCTAGGTTTGAACTCGGAACCTCGCGAATACAAAGCAGGGTTGACAATCACTCGGTAAAATGGTTCTCACATAGTGTGGATTGGATTTAACTGGCTCAGGATAGGTCCAGGAGCGAGCTATTGTGAACACGGTGGTAAATCAGTTTGTATTTTGTCAGATTTTGTTACATGACAGGAACTAACTCTGAGATGTTCCAGAAAATGTCGATTTCTGCCGTCAGATAACCAAATTTCAAGGCTGATAAAAAAAAACGACCGTGACAGGGCCCAAAGTGTACGCGTCTTATGTTGAAAGGAACCCGGGGGACACTGCCCCTTGAGTTCCTATTGATCGCTAGCAGAAGGCAACAAAGACAAGAGAACGACCTTCATGGGGGTCACCTACGCTGTCCGCTAAGTCGTGAATCGAACCAGAGTTATTTTAAGTGAACGCTGAGGCTGCCTTTTGACATCCTGGAATGTTTCCAACATGGAATTTATAAATATTTTCCAATTGTACGATCGCATCACAGCATTCCGCTGATAACAACTCAGGGGTTCTGCACGGCTGGAAATTAGCACGTTCCGAGCCTTCCAGGCAGTGGACGAATATTACGAGAATTTTTAAAAAATGTGTAAATTTCCAGAGCATTTAAGAACGAAGCACTCACGAGAAAATTTGAAACTTACGTAACGAAACCAACAAGGCGACTGAAAAAAATTACTTCGCGAGAAAATTCACCAAGCATTATTACGGTAATTACATTAAGAACGTTGAGATGAGTGGAAACATGGAGAAAATAAAAAATGCATACAGAATTTTAGTTAGAAACCCTGAAGTGAATGGACCACTCGAAAGATCTAGACCCTTATACAAAACGATCTTTGATTTCCTGGGTTGTAGGTTGTTGATTGGATTCATCTGGCTCAGGATACGGATTGGCGGCAGACTTTTGTTAACACGGTAATGAACCTTTGGGTTCTATAAAATGTGGGAAATTTCTTGACTAGCTCGAGAAAGACTCTGCTACGGGGAGATTACTTGCTTAAGTCGGTTACGTCACAAGACTTAAGTGCATTCCATTCTTTCTGGCTTGGAGATCTTGAATTATTTTTGTTGCTCTAAAGAACAGTGTATCGATGCAAAAACGCAAGATCTGCTTATGAAGTGACTAAGGAAAACTGCAACGTACTTAGAAGCCGGTGTTAAGTGACAGGACAGTCTGGGCGACAACGAAGCACTGGAGTGACAATCTTCGATTCGTCGCTCCAGCCGGCGGAACAAGGAAAGAGGAGCGTCCTGTTGATACTGCACTTCCGGTCCTCACTTATCAAGCAGAATGAACATGACTTACCCATTACCTACTCAGGACCACTCGTTTAGAACTAAGTAACTCCGCATTTAAGCATTATTCAAACAAACTTCGGCCTCAAGGAGTTAGGGTTCGATAGGAACACAGTCTCTGAGAATCTGACAGTCGCTCAGCTGACCAAAAGATTCCCAGGCTTGTACTGAACCCGATAGCTCACTACCGTCGTGAGCCAGATGAATCCAATCAACAACCTCCAAACATATTTCCATAAGAGTCATTTTAATATTATTCTCCCGTCTAAGCCTAGGTCTTCCCAGTAGTATCTTCAATTCAGACTTTTCAACAAAAGTTTATAAATTTTAATCTTTCTCCCTCGTGTATTTAATTTAAGCATCTGTGGATGAGAATGGTTTTGTGGACCTCAAACGAGAACTTGAGAATGGACAATCATTTATTCTTCTAATTCACAGTTCAAGACTCAAGAAAATTCCTTTTCTTACCACATTACAAGTTAGCATTACTTCTGTACGGAGTGCATTGTAAAACTTCTGCAGAATCACAATGATAGTACGCCTGCAAATATGCGTATAGACTGCCCGCACCACTCCAGTGCCGGAGAAGTTGCTGCACATAACAGAGCACGGCGTAAGCAGGAAAACTGTGAAGTTTTCTGTCTTGACACACTGACAGTCGCTGAGCTGGTCAAGAAATTCTCTACCTTTCATGGTACGCGAAGGTTCACAACAGCCTTCAATTCGACCCTGTCCTGAGCCAGCTGAATCCATTCCACACCT